GCAGCTACTTTTGTGTCATCATTGGCATTGTTGATTTTTGAATAAGTGATTTAAACCTCTTTTGGCTTTATAGATTAGTCCTTATAATTAATGAAAACTTCAGTATTTTCTTTCTTAAACGCATTGAGTCTGTTGCTATAGATTGAATGTTTTACAGTTTCACAGAATACGCTCAAAAGGTTTGCCCTCAAAAGCTAGACAGTACTGAAGGCATTTAATCCAGATAACTACCACATTTTTATGAATGCTCAGTGCCATTATCTGAAAAATACTGCAAAGAAACAAAATAATATGTGTTAATTTCCTCAATATTACAATGGCAATTGAAGTTTGGGACACCCTTCAGAGCATATTAACAGTGTCCCCAAGTCATGATGATGTCATAAGTGTTTAGCCAAATGGCACTGGTAGTTGTAGATCTGTAGTGCTGCTTAGGCTTAGCTTTGGTTACATAATATCATAGACATTGACTTTCCTAATATTATTAAACTGTTATTCTTTATATCATTGCCCATATTTTTTGTTTTTATGACCACACTATTGGACTGTTTCATCAAAAATCAGATGACTTATTTAGTAACAACTGAAAGAATGGTTATAAAAAGGGAAAAAAAAACCCTGAATTTATGCTTTTTTACTTCTTTATTCTAGTAGATGAGAGGTTACATATATATTTTTAAATATAAATATACATATAAACTAATAATACAACAATTCTGTGAATATCAAGATGTATTGTAGTATCCAGTTTTAAAGGGATAATAACACAAAAATGTAGGATTTGAACTTTATGCACTTTTTTTATTGGAAAATGCTTTTAAGAATAAAAATATTGGCCATTATTTAATGATGTTTTTAATAAGATATGTACTGGCTTTATTCACACATTCATTTTTTTTTTGCAATTGCCTTTACGATATTATTTCAGTGTACTTGCTTATAAATGTAAAACATTTGTGTGTACAATCTAAAATCCATGAAATACATTTATTTGTTATTTATGTAACACAAAGTTAGTATTGATTATGAAGCCACTTTTCAACATTCTTTACACTCGTAAAGTTTTGAAAGAAACAAAGCACTTACCCTAAGATATTATAACCTTGAAATTGCCAGTGGGGTCTATGTGAACCATATTAGTTATTTGAACACATATTTCCAGACTTTTTATGCAACAAGTTGCTGCTGGATCTATGATTGTGGTGTTTACAGGATCTCTTATAATATAGGAATCACACAAAATAAACAAAAATACCATGAATTTTATAATCAGTCATACCATATGAAATTCTTGATTATCTGTTTATTCTAACTATCCACTCAATTTTTTAGTTAGTTCTTTTAGATGTTTTAACAGGCAAAAACATAAATTTACTCAGTGTTATGTATCCCAATGGTAGTGAGCAGTAAATTGAGAATTAACCCTGTGGCTAAATTGGCTCATCAGTAAGTCAGATCTCATAATGCTGAAGATTGAGTTTTGATACCCAACAGGACAAATCACAAATAGTCCATTGTGTAGATTTGTGCTTAATAACAACAAAAACAAACTAAAATGATAATTTTCTGTTTGTTTCTAATATCAATCAATTTTTTTCAACATAGGACATGTATTTTATGGTATAAAAATCATAACGAATGCTGTTTTTACCTGGAATTGTGTGTTGTGCATTGTTTTGTTGTTGAAGGGGGCTTAGATAAGCAAACTGAAAGGTTATAAGGATGGTATTTCTGTATTATAGTTTGTAAATGTCTTGAAGTTTTGGAGTATTAACGTTTAATGTTTATACATTTTACCAAAAGAAGCTTCTAATTTTTGTTCCATTATGTTTTTATTTCTCCAGGTTTTCTTAAGAGACATTTTTGAATTTATAGATGTTCTTATAAACAATTATCCTACAAACTTGGACTTTTCTGCTATAAGTTGTTGCCTTTAGTTCATTTTCTAAAAATTATTGCAGTGATTGTGTAATGAGAGGCATCATACTGTATATTACATTCTGTTCAAAACGCTGTCTAACTAGAGGCACCATACCAAGTATTACATTCTACTTTAAACTACTGACTTTGTCTAATGAGAGACACCATACTTACTGTTATTCTATTTTAAACCACTGACTTTGTCTAATGAGAAACACCATATCTATGTTAAAGTATACTTTAAAGCACTAACTGTGACTAATTAGAGACACCATACTTACTGTTATTCTACTTTAAACCACTGACTTTGTCTAATGAGAAACACCATAATCTATGTTACAGTCTACTAACTGTGACTAATTAGAGACACCATACTTACTGTTACATTCTACTTTAAACCACTGACCTTGTCTAATGAGAAACACCATACTCTATGTTACAGTCTACTTTAAAGCACTAACTGTGACTAATTAGACACACCATACTCTATGTTACAGACTCCTTTAACTGTGACTAATTTGGGGCACCATACCTTGCATTACAGTCTACTTTAAAACACTAAATGTGACTAATTAGAGGATGCTACACTGTTATATTTTACTTTAAAACACTGTGTCTATTGAGGAGCATAATTCTCTACATTGATTACATTAGAATATGAAGACTTTGATAGTGGAACAGAATAAAGGAATCTATTCTATGAAGTTTAAGTGTAAAATGTTTTAATAATTGGAATATTTGTCGTTTATTTTGCTTTATACATAAACCTATTGTTATTCACAGAACTTGCATCAAGATATCACAAAATATTGTACTTAATGTATTTTGTGTGTGTGTTTCCTAGAAATATACCTTAAATTGTGCATATACTGTTGCATATCATCCAGTATTACATATTTAACCTTAGTTTCTTTTTTAACACCACACTTGTATAACTACCCAGTGATAAAAAAATAACTTGGAAAAGAAGCAACTGTTCTAGTGAATACTGAGCTGATGAAATATTTTTCTAATTGTAGTTATATTAGTTTTGAAATCATCAAAGTGAGAATTTATCAGTTAGTTCATTACTTTCAAGTTAATTTTAAAAAGTTTTGATATGAAATTCTCTACACTGTAAGGAACAGCATATTTTTGTTTTATGAAGGTTCAAGACACTTGTAGATAGGAATACAATAAACTTGAATATTAAATTAAACATGCATTACTAAACATTCCATTTCAAAGAAGTAAAACTCATAAACTAGAAAAATATCGTCTGAGTTTGACAGTCTGTATGCATTCTATTTAAGCAGTTATACTGATTTAAAAAAAGAAAACTATTATCTATTGTTATGAGTTGTCTGTTTATTAGTTGTTGATACATTTATGGGCAAGGTTAATAGCTGTTTGAAATAGATTTGTTTCTTGCTAGTATATAGTACGCCCCCCCAGTGGCACAGCGGTATGTCTGCAGACTTACAATGCTAGAAACCGGGTTTTGATACCCGTGGTGGGCAGAACACAGATAACCCATTGTGTAGCTTTGTGCTTAATTACAAATAAAAAAAAAAGTATATAGTACACTGTTACTATAAATGTTTAAAATGTGTTTCTCATTGAAATTTCTGATTTAGTTAAATGATAATATCATGAATGTAATTTTATTTCCTTATGCTATCAAGAGTAAATATCTGACCCAAAACCCCAAATCCTTCCTCCAACTGCATTTAAAATTTCCTAATGAAAAGGATTAAAATAAAATTTATTTGTGAGAAGAAGAAATTCTTTTTTGTTTGTGACAAAATTTCCCTCCAATTCAGTAAAATTTCAACTTCAAAAGATATAATGTAATTGAATTGTCCTAATCCTAACATGTTTTGTTTTTCAACTTTTTTTATTGTGGGTTTAATTTTCTTAATGTTTTTGACAAATGTTTTTTTATTGTTTGTAGTAATTGCAAAATAACTTCCCATTGCAGAGTTAAACTATCATTTTGCTATTACTGCAGTATTCCAGTGTTAATGAACGTTTTCAAGTTGGATGGTCATGAGGAAGTTTTTGTCAAAAAAGTTTTATAGATGAGGAAATTTGACAGTTTTTTACTCCTTTATATGGGATTATTCTATAGCAGTTTTCTTGCTTAAATATTTATAGAAAGGGGAGATTGCAAAAATTGAGTTTTTAATGAAGCACAAGTTAATTTTATATTATTTAATTTCTCCTATTATACTGTAATAAATGTACACCAATAATTTGGAGAAAATTTAAAATAGGAAGTATAAAATTGGTTATAAGTGCATCTGCAAAAAATAGTTCTATCAAAAGATTTTTATAGAAATTCTATAAAACTGTGACATGCTAATACGACTCATATTAGTTTTTAAAGTATAAACTTTTTTTTACCCTGCTAATTGGTTTGCATTATCTTTTTTCAACTCTGGGCATGAGGTATTTACATAAAAAAGGGTTTAGGTAGCTTAGCTAAAATTACAGGAAGTGAAAGTGTGTCAAACTTTTGTGCTATGAACATTGGTAGCTAAATTTGGAAGGAATTTTATATGCTCAAAAATTTGGATAAAAATGAGATAATCGGATAACATTCCTTACTAGGTTAAAGAAATGAGTAGAATTGAATGGAAAATATGTCAAAGCATTCATTATTGCCATTAAAGAAGTGTATTGCTTGTATTTATGGATGTATTACTCATTTTACTGTTATCTGTAAAACTTCAATTCAGAACCAAACTAAACTCAAAGAGTATTACTTTGGTAAGGGTAGCCTTGTAATTTGCTTTGTTGGTAGACCTAATCAGTCTTTATACGTGTATAGCTTGGTTGATGCTGGTGTGCTATTTTGTGTTGTCATAGAGAAGTGTTTGTAATTGTGTGACATGCATTATCATTTATTTTAGAAACTGGATTTGTGTGTTAAGGATTGCCTATTAATTTATATATATCCTTTATACTAACAGAAACACTGTTGTCTTAGTTGTAAATGTTATTTTCATTAAAGATGGTTGTTATAGGAAAATGAAATTTCTCTTATGATTTCAAAAGTCCATTAAATTACTTTTTCTCATTCTTTTCAATACTTACAGGGGAGTCCACCTATTTATGACTGACTGACTTCACTCGGCATCCCACATTAACCTGCTAACCTCCACCTTGGTGTTTTGTAATCTGTGTCTCCTGCCCTGTGAAGCCTGACCATTGGTCTTGTGCTGTTTATTTGTTGTATTGACTGACCACAAACAAGAGCTTCCTCTCTGTTTACTCCCTGTTTGTGTTAATAAGAAAAAAGCTGTGAAGTTGACGTCATCAACCTTCCCAGGGACAGGGTACTTGTACAGTAGCAGATCTAGAAGACTTCATGACTTCATTAGTGCTCAGTTTTTGTTGAGTATCCCCTTTGTATGGGATCAACTTTGAAATCGACACTACTGAACATCTTGTTAGCCATGTGGTTAAGTAAAATGTAGCTGGTGTACTTATATTTAAAAAATGTGTACATACATTTATATATATATATATATATATATA